TTTCTGATGCCATTGAAAATGGGATTGTTTTCTTAATTTCTCTTTCTGAAAGTTCATTGTTAGTGTATAAAAACAGTGGTTTTGGTACATTGCTTTTGTATCCTGCCACTTTACTGATTTTGTTTATTTGTAAATTTTAGAACAAGATTTTATATGAGAAAAAATTTCAGAGGAGTAATCAACCTAAGGTCACACTGCAAATAGCAGAGCCAAGATTCAGTCTGGGAGTGTGTGATTCCAGAGCTTTTAGCCATGAGTTGTGCTGCTTTATGCTACCCGGGAGGGAAGGAGTGCTTCTGGAGAAAGAGACATTTAGCATTATATACCCATTATTGCCTTACCTAGGATATTGCAGATTGTTCTGACCTCATCTCTTGTTTTTCTGTCTGACTTCTGTCTCCTCTCCTGCTAGTCCTTTTCCAACCTCACCATGCATTTTAGACACACTCTCTTTTCTTAGCACTTAAAGATATCATTGCATTGTCATTTGCCTTGCGTTGTTTATGACAAGAAGTCTGCATTGATTCTTGGTTCCCTTATAAATGTGTCTATAAATTATTCATAAAATAAAAAGACAGTAATTCAGTAATTTGAGCATAATGTGCCTTGGTTTTCTTTGTGTTTATCCTGCTTGGGGCTTACTTTGAGCTACTTGATTGGATCTTTGGGGTTACAGTTTTTATCAGATTTGGGAATTTTTCAGCCATTATTTAAAAAAATATTTGTCTGCCCCCACCTGTCTTCTCTTGTTCCTTCAATTACCGTCTGTTAAACTGCTTGATATTGTCACTCAGGTCCCGGGGGTCCTATTGTTTTTTTTTTTTGTTTTCCCCTCTCTAAAGATTGAATTGCTACGTCTTAAAATTCTGTTGCTGTGTCTTAAAATTCACTGATTCTTGTGCAATGCTATAAAGCCCATCCAGTGCAGTTTTCATTTTAGATACTTTATTTTTTATCTCTAGAAGTTCCATTTGGTCCTTTTTCATACCCCTCCTCTCTCTCTCTCATTATATATTCATATTTTACTTTAAATCCTTGAGTATATTTATAATACCTTATCTGCCAATTCCATTATCTCTGTTTTTTCTGGGTCTGTTTTTATTGTTTTCCTGTAAGTTGTGGATTGTAATTTGTGGCATTTTCAGATGTCTAGTAATTTTTGGAATGATGGCATACATTTAGAATGTCACAGTGTTGAGTGGATTTTATGATCTTCCATTAAAGAATGATGACATTCGTTTTGGCCGTCAGTTAAATTATTTGTGAATCCCCTTTGTTAGGGCAGTTCACAGGCTATTTAATCTTACTCCTGAGGTATGGCCCTTCTGGGGCGGAGGGGGCGGGGTGGGGGAGCTGCTGACTGCCTCAGTGGTTCACATGATTTTTCTACTTTAACTGGACAAAATTCAAATATCTTATTCTGTTCTCTGTGAATGCTAAGAATTGTTCAGCTTCTAATTTCCCAGCAGTTCTTTGCTTGACCTTACAGAGTTTCACCCTTATGCTTGCCCCTATTAGTATTTTGTCTAAGACTTCAGGATACAGCTAAGCAGATGTCTGGAGATCCTTCTCTGTGTAGCTCACTCCTCTGGAAATCCAACTTCATTACCTGTGTCAAACTCCTGGTCTGTGTCCTCAGTTTAGCAAAGCCGCCGTATTCTGCTTGGGCTTCTCCTCCATCCTGTACCACGGTCCATAAATTACTTCCAAGTAGGAAGACAGAGAGAGTAGGGCTCAACTTGTTTGTGTCCCTCTTATAAGGGATCATGGTCCAAACTGCCTGTGTTCTCATGTCTGAAAGTAGTTGGCTCTTATACTTTGCTCATTTTCTAGTTGTTTATGACTAGACGGTAAGTTCTGTGCCATTTGGCTGAAAGGGGAAGTAGGTACTTAACCTTTAGTGAGTCATATCATGTATTTTTGACACTATCCTGCTTGCTTGTGTCCACTATTGCCTGGGATGTTCTCTTAACCATTTCATCTAGTGGATTCCTATTCCTTCTACAAGTCTCAGAATAAATGTCATTTTTCTAAGCTTTTTTTTTCTCCTTTCCAATGAATTGCTCAGTTGCTGAATTATCAAATCACTTGATATAGAATTTTACACCCATATATATTTATGCATATGTATTCTTTAAAATGTGTTTCCTGAAGTTATAAGCCTTGTTTGTTTATTTATTTATAAGATTTTATTTATTTATGTGTCAGAGAGAGAGCAAGAGCACACACAAGCCGGGGGAGTGGCAGGCAGAGAGAGAAGCAGGCTCCCTGCTGAGCAAGGAGCCCTGTGCAGGACCCTGGGATCATGACCTGAGCCGAAGGCAGACGCCTAACCAGCTGAGCCACCCAAGGCAACTGAGCCACCCAAGGCGTCTCGATACTTATTTATAATTTACCTTTCTATCCATAGCACATTGCACAAGGACCTAACATATTCGATTGGTATTTGTTAATTTTGAAGAGTGAGGGAGGAAAGATCTGAACTGAGCCTTGAAGCAGGTAGAAATGGATATGCTAGTTTCGATAGAAAAAGGAATGTTTGGTGTCAGAGGTTGGGGGCCAAGATCTAGCCAAGGTAGATCTCTAGCAGGCAGCTAGATCTCTAGCAGGCAGCTAGATCTCTAGCAGGCAGCTGGGGAAACACAGTTGCTCGTAGCCTGCAAACATCATGTACATGGCTCTGCATAATGTTGATCAAAAGATTCTTATCCCTTAACTTTCTAAGGGCCACTAGAACATTGAAATGAAAAGTTCTTAATATGTTTTATAAAAATAGTTCCTGTGTAAAATTTTTTGTGAAAAGTTCTTGAATTGATGTTTTTGTAAATGTAATTCATAATAAAGTTTATTTCTCAGTTTCTGGGTAATTTTAAAGTAGTGGAAAATAAGCACTACTAACGTAAATATACCATAATATAACTGTGGAAGCCTTGGTGTAGTTAAAAGATAGGGCACAACAAAACTTGTAGCATTTCTCTGGCTTCTATGTGTGAAGTGGTTGGTAATATTCTTATACTTCCTGTTAACCATACTTGACAGGTGTTTTTAAATGTTGCAGATTGTTCTTTAGGATAATTGTGTTTAGTTCCACTCATTAATATGACAGTTAATGGGGTCAAGCTTACATTTAAGCAGACATAAACTGGGACGATTGCACATTGTATCAGAGGGTGTGCAAGTCTTGCTGGTCACTGAAGGCTAGGCTGGCCTTTACAGCTTCTTGAATAGTCTCATTTGGAATACATCCTTGGAAATTTTCGGAAAACTATAGTTTTATACTTTGTATTCTGTGTCTATGTAAACTACTTAAATTGTTGGGAAGACAGAGGAAACCCTTACGTTAAAGCAAGGATGGGTACACCTTATAGTGGAAAGAAGTAATAATAAATTGCTCTTAAAGGTAAAGAAATCTTCTCACTTATGTAAGTTGACCTTTATTGAATTTTATTGTGAATGGTTAGTAATGAGCTGAGAGACATTGCTGGGAGACTTTTTCAACCAAGATACAGTTCTTTGTTTTAGTTGAGGAACATGGACGGTTCTGAGCTGTAACTGGCAAATTGTGGTGTGTGAGTGCAGAGGGCTGTATGTTACGTCCTGGTGTATCTCTAGCTGCTTGGGACTGAGTTGACCCAGCTCATACTGACTTTTGCTTTAGGTCATCAAATCCATATTAACAGTATATGGTACTGGCAGGCTGCAGTTAATTTACTCTGTAATTATGTTGTGAATGTTCACCATTTCTTTTCTTATGACTTGTATATTACTTTAACCGTGCCTGAATATGTGATGGGCATTTTACAGTTAAATACATAAAAATGATTTTAATGCTTTCATATTTGTTTCTTAATACTATAATCAAAATATAATAAAAAATCAGTTGTATAGGTTTAGCCAAAATGAAAACCTTATCAGCCAATGAATTATTTGCTTTCACTTTCATCACCTGCAGCTGTTCAGCTAAACTTAAATATGTTCTTACCTAATTTTGGTGACAAATTGTCTTTCCTTATATGGGCAGAATTTGGAAATAGGTTGCTTAACAGAAAAGGAAAGAAAAAAAGAACTAAATTATCATACTGAAAGGAAATTAATAAGTAGCTCTGGTCTGAGAGCAGCATGGCTGTTTGGAGTTATATATTTCATATCAGTTTTGTAACAACTTTATGAAAGCAACCCAGTCTTTTTTTTTTTTTTTAAACACATAAAGGAAATTTTGAGATATGACATGAGCTGTCATTTATGGTATGAACAAAGTGTTTAAGTGTGGACTTTCTGCCGAAGAGATAAAAATTTTTAAATGTTGATTATTTTTTTTCCTCTTATTGGCAAAATTATTTGGAGGAAAACAAACAAACTGCGATGCTTTGCCCAGAGGTTGGAAGAAAGTTTAAATCAGTATTGCACTTTTGGTGAGGATAGGCTCTTTTTATTAAAATTTTAAATGCACATTCCCTTCACTCCAGCTGGTTCGTTCTAGGTGTCTACACTTGGGAGCTCTTGGCACTGAACAAACATGTGAGAAACTGTAATGTGCCTTCTCATCACAACATTGTTTATAATTGTGAATAATTAGGAAGAAAGTAAATGTCCTTCAAAGGGGTTTTGTTTCTCCCTCTCCTCCCTGCTCATGCGCGCTCTCTCTCTCTCTCTCTTTCGTTATCTCTCTTTCAAATAAATAAATAAAATCTTAAAAAGAGAAATTTTCACTTGAAAGTATGTTAATATATTTTACTATTAAAGTTTAATTCTTGAAGTTCTTAAATTGATGTTTTTATTTAGCTTTGGAAATGTTAATCTTACCTCATATTAGAAGCTTCATATTTTTATTTAAAAAAGAAATGGATTTAGGCAAGTAGACAGACATTTACACATACTCAAATTATAGTTTATCTAAATAAAGATACTTAATGTGTAAAATACTAAGAACAAAAAAAGGCTAAATATTTTTAATGAGTCCTTTTCCTTTATAATTAAAGTGTGCTTCTGTCCTTCTCTAGTGCTGCTGGGGGTGAAATCTTTGACCAGTGTGTTGCAGACAGAGAAGAAGCCTTTAAAGAAAAAGATGTTCAAAGACTCATGAGGCAGATATTAGAAGGTGTCCACTTTTTACATGCTCATGATGTAGTTCATCTTGATTTGAAGGTAAGATCTGAATTACTTTACAGTGTTGAGATGGCTAGAGAATGACCCTCCAGGTATAAAGTATTTAACAGTAATTAATTCAAACATTTAAAACACAAGTTTGTCTGTTTTATTAGGTAATATGGAAATAAAGGTTGAGTCTATTCTTATCCTCTTGCCAGTTAGTTTTATCAAGGAGGTAAAGTACATGTGTGTACATAGAAAGGTAAATAATAATACATTGCCCCAAAAAATGAAGCTTAGAGGATATTGGTAGGATAGGTGAACTCTTCCTGAGAAGAGACAGGGTTTAAGCTAGACCTTAAAAAATTAGGATTTAGATAGAGAAAATACAGGAATGTAGAAAACAGAAGATAAAATTCCATCACAAGAGTTAGGAAAACTTGTTGGGCAAACATAAACGGAATAGTGTCCCTGGAACTGAGAGAGGAAACAGGAGATACAACTGAGAAAAGGCCAGATTCTAGGGGTTTCAAACGTCGTGAAGAGGGAGGTGACTTGTTAGTAGGAATATCCGAAAAACAGTGCTGTAGACAATTAGGCAGGCAGCAGTAAATAAAATAGAGAACTAAAGAGATTCAAGTCAGGCAGATACAGAATTTAAAATTATCAAAGAAGGAAAGGGAGGAGGGAAGAAAGAATACACAAAGGGCAGCCTATCAGTTATGATGCTTTCAAGTAATCAGAATGCCGGCTGAAAGTCGGGGGAGCAAAAAAGGAAATTTTATTGGCTAAAAAGTCCAGGTATAATTCTAACTGAAGGTATGACACTATTCATTGATCCACATATTACAAGTGGTTGGTTTTTCTTCAGTCCCCAGCTCTGCCTTCTCAAAATGGCAAGAAGATGGTAAGTTAGATGCTGCCATTTTAGCCTGGGAATTGTCCAGAGATGCAGCAGGAAGGAGCCAGCTTCTGCTTATTAGCTCTTTCAGAAGTCCTGAGATTCACTCTCACCAAACCAACTTCGATTGGTCCGGAACTAAGAAGTGTGCGGGGGGCGGGGAAGGGTGCAGAGTTCTGACTGGCCAGGCCAGCATGACCAGTGTCATTTGCTCCAGCCCTGGAGGGGTAAATTCCTTCTCCCATCCCAGTTGTTTTTTGGACCAAGAGTGGGGAAGGGTTGGATTCTCAGACCAGTTCTGCTTCTAGAAGAACGGGGGGTGGGTGAGTGCCCAGGAGACAGTGAATGACCACGACAAGTATCCTTAGCAGATTCCTTCAGGCATCTGGGGGAGAGGAGTGTAAGATCCCTGTTGATGGTTGCTTCCATATCGAGTCCAGGTATGGCTGTAGGGAAAGGACACAGTCCTCAAGGAGCACACCAGTGACTCCGGTTCTTTATCAGCCAGAGGAGATAGGGTTAGGAAGGAAGGTAACCCGAGGAGACTGGACCCCTGGACCCAAAAAAGGCTTTCCTCTCCTGGACTTCCGCAGCTTCATTTTACTCAGCATCTGCCAATCTATCTTGACTCCTGCTGTAGTTTGCCTTCTGGCAGAAAGGCACACTCATGGCAGTGGCTCTCCGGCTGTGACAGGGATCGGGATCACCAGGAGAGGCTTGTTGAAGCAAATGCTACGCCCCAGTTCCAGAGTTTCTGATTCACCGTAGGGCCGTGGGAGACTGGTACCGGGGGTCCAGGCACCATTTTGAGAACTGCTGCCGTCAGCCGCGCCTGGACACCCAGTAGATAGCCCACAGCATATGAGGCCCTAACCCTCCACGTTACGGTCTTAGGAGGGGGAGAGCCCTGAGAAGCAAATAGATTTAGATGAGGTCGTGAAGGTGGAGCCCCCATGATGGGATCCGTGCTCTCATAAGAAGAGGAAGAGACAGCAGAGCTCCCTTTCTCACTGCCATGTGAAGATGCAGCAAGAAGGTGGCTGTCTATAAGACAGGAAGAGAGCCCTCGCTAAGAATCAGATAATCTGCCGTCACCTTGATCTTGGACTTCCCAACCTCCAGATCTAAGAGCAATAAATGTCAGTTGCTTAAGCCACACAGTTTATGGAATTTTGTTATAGCAGGCCAAGCAGACTGAGACAGCAGGAGACTATGTTTCACATAATAAAGGTTTATTTTATTTAAAAGAAAAAAAAAAGATATCCCACAGCGTAAATAGCAGTGTTTAATCTTCACTGCGTGAAGGAACACTCTCAAGGAACTGTGTACAAAGAGTGTACAGTGTGTACTCCGGAGGTTGACTTCTAAAGTAAACTTGATAAAATTCCGTCTAAAATAAGATAAGAAGGGCAATAGGTATTCCTTCAAATACTAGTTTCCTACAGAAGAATACAGGGGAAAGAAAACAATTTGGAAACTTTCTTGTTCTTTTCTGAAAAAATGTCAATTTACATTCATCTTGTAAACAGATACTTTTCTCAAGGATATTAATTTTTTAGTACAGTGGCTAAAACGCATGCTTATAACACTGTAGACTGTGGTAGGTGAAGTGGCATTTTAGGAAGGCACGTGTGGACAGGTGTGTGCCCACATGGAGTCCCAGGATGTGAAAGCTGAAGTGGCTGTAGAGGTCACCTAGGTCAAACTCTCATAGCTATAGCTGAGGGAACTGGGGCTTCGTTTGTTTCCCTTGAGTCTGTCATATGCTTCGAAATTCAGAGATCCTTGCTACAAGAAATACCTAGCTCTGCCTCCCTCGGGAACACTTAGGCAGCCGGAAGAGATGGCCTCTGCAGTCCAGACTTCAGTGGACTCAGACTTGAAGAAGCCTCAGTTAGTGTCAGCCATGCAGAAGAGTTCCCACAAGTAATGTTTGTACTGAGCTTTTTTTTTAAGTTTGGTTTTACACACTTAACTTTAGAAAGTCCTATATTTATTTTTTATGATGTTTTGCTAGTTTTGTGATGTAAAAAAGACTTCCAGGAATGAACCCCAATTTAAATAACATTGCACCTATAGGAAATACGCTTTCGATTTATGACAGCTCAACCTTTAACTATTATTCAGGAACTAATTAAGTAGCAGGTCAGACAGGTTGCCAACACCATGTGTCATGGGTCTTTGATGTTACTTGAAAGCAGCCGAAGGTGAAAATTAAGTTATTGAATACCAGGTTTAACTCTGTATTTACTCAAGGAAATTATATCCCTTTCTCCCCAATACACTCAGTATAAATCATATTGCTTTCTCCGCAGAACACTTGGTGTAAAATTCTTTCTGGATTTAATAGAGGCTTTGATGATGGGCCTTTGATGTTGGACCCTGGACTCTTCGTGTGTCCTAGGCCCAGAGGAACTAGAAGACTGGGTGGCCTGGCGGGTTCTCAGCCGTCCCTCTGCCTCATAGTGGTCACAGGTGCAGTCAGATGTGTCCTTCCGTGAACCGCTGAAGGGGGAAGGTTGCAGACGGAGTTGGTGTGGCAGCCGTGTGCAGATGGGAATGATTTTTACCGCAGGGTCCTCTCCAGTTGACTTTGTGACCTCTGTGAGTCTGGACAGAGAGTCTCCTGTCCCACACCTTTTAATAGCCATCTGCCCCGTGACAATTTTTTTTATGCTTCTAATGTTGACTCTGAGTCTCTGTAAGAGCTGGAAAGCTACAAAGCTAAATATGTTTCCTAAAGTTTTAATTCTGTGCAAATTGATAATCCCCATGTCTAGGGTAACTTTGAGTTAGTAGACTCTTTATTCTCCATTATAGTTAAAATGGGAAATTCTTGTCCCAGAGACAAGAAGTAGTAAGAAGTTAGAATAACTATTGTAGTTGCTCCTATAAAAGAGATAATTGTCACAATGGGAAATATGCTACTTGGCTTCAGGTCAGACCCCAGAGGGGCAGTTTGCCAAAAGACTCATTCACTGATGACTCTCAGCCAGATATCTTAAATTGAACATGGCAAATGCTTTGAGCGGTAACAGATGCAGATCTTGGACTGTTTAGAGGCCTACAAAAATAGAAAAGACACTAAACTGTGATTAAGGGAAAGCCCATTTTTTTATGTACATCGTGGCAGGATTGACAAATCTGAGAAACAGTAACTCTACCAAAGTCAGGACAGAGCTAAAAGCCTCAAAATAATCTCAACTGGTGACTTAGTCATTGGCACAGTGGCCTGCTTTTACTTCAGTCAGGGATGGACTTGACCAGAAAGAACACAGAGAAATCCAGTCTTAAAACCCAGTGCTCTTTGTGTTTGAATGGTCTTTGTTGGTTAGATCTTTCAGCAGTTCTGTACTAGGTACTCAGTCATTAGTTTGTCCACCCTGTTTCATGTATATGATGAGAAGCAGAGGAGCAGACCAGGAACTAGGAGCTGGAACTTTCCCTTTTGAGATTTAAGTTGGTCACGGACAGTTTGAGCATCAGTGTATTACTTGAAAGAGGGGGTGACATTTCTAAACAGACTCCCAAACTAAGTTGGACAGTAGTAGTAACCTCTTTTTGTACGATGACCTGGGTGTTAATAAATAAAAAATCCACTTGAATTTGCATTGCCTGATAAAAATGTTCCTGAAAATTTTGTTCATGGTACCTTAAGGCTGATTAAGCAAGGTATCCTCAACTTTACAGTGATCTTACCCCGGGGTGATTGTTCAGTAACTGTTCAGTGGGCTGTATAGGAAGATGAAGATACCAAGATAAAGGAAAAGGATTCCCCCATGAAGCAGAGAAATACGATTTTACAAAGATCTCCCTACTGCCTTTGTCTGTTTGAGGACGGTTTGTGTGTTTCCTGTTTCTTCCACTGTCATTGTCTCTCCAGGGACCTTCTTGTTTTCTCTTACCACCTGGGATTCATGCATCCTAAACAGAATTAGGCATCACGAGCCACAACTTCTTCATCATGAACTGGACTCCCTAGAAAGGAGGTCTGACTAAGCTGTAATGCCAGTGTACTTTTCTTTGTTTTCAGCACAGATACTTCACTTCCTGGAAGTGGGTATATTTCGCCATCAAAGACTGATGGATTATAGTCCTGTAATTGTACTTAACGTTTTATTTAGAAGAGTAAGGTCTGTTTCTAAAACGTATCTGT